CCCTACAGGTTCATAACGTTACAGTTCCTAACAGTGCAAAATTACAGTTATGAAGTAGCAACAAAAATAATTTTTTGGTTGGGGTTCACCACAACATGAGGACCTAAAGAATGTTTACTGCCTGGCCCAGTAGACACACCTGTAATCCTAGCTCTTGGGTAGTGAAGATAGAATAATCAGATACTCAAGGCCAGCCTCACCCATATAGCAAGTGAGAGGCCAGCCTGTGCTGTCGAAGACAATCCAATCCAATCCCAAACAATCCAATATTTGCCTAAACGCACTGACCTCGTGTGTCTGCAGGCCTTCACACATGCAGTTGCTCCCTCAACTTGAAATGCCTCCCTAAACCCACTCTGCCCTCATCCAATCGCACAGCAAATGGTGACAGAGCAGCCATGGTGTCTATTAAGTACTGCTTAGGCAACAGGCGACCCAAGCTGAGCAACAGCGACAACCACAACCTACTGACACAGTGAAATCCACAGCACAAGCTTCTGTCTGATAGGATTGAGTTCTAGGGGATAATCCTTGATAGTGTTGACATATACTTCAACATCAACAAAAGAGCCGTGTGGGGGCCTGGTTTAAACTTTACTTCAAGTATATCTTCTTCTAGAATGATCCATAGCATACTCACAGGCCAATCCAGTGAAGGCAGTTTTTCAACTGATGGTCCCTCTTCCCAGGTGTGTTAAGCTGGCAGCTAAAGCTAACTATGACACCTCGATATTTTAAAAATATTCAGAATTTATGATGATTTTTGTCAGATGATAATAATAATGAAATTATGTACTTTTAAAAGTAAAACTGAGGGTATCTTCTGGAGATACATGCGAAAACATTCACCAATACCATAATATAAAGTCTAGAATTGGATTGAAAATACCACATTGAAGGATTGGAGGGGTGAAAGAAGTTCATATGAAATAAGATTAGTGGTGGATAGGTACTTCCTAAATCATTTCTCTATTTTTGTATATGCTTGAAAAATCCATAAGACCAAGCTTTAAATATTTATGTAAGAACATATGTTTATTAACTGAAGCTAAGAATATACCAAAGCAAAAAAAAAGTATCTTTGACTTTAGAAAAACTAACTATGTTTGCCAAAATAACGTTTTGATTGGTTATCTGATTGTAAACAATATTTCTAAATATCCAAGTATGTTAATAAAACATTTAAGCACAACTGTTTATAGGAATGGTTTCGATCACCTGTGAAGAAATATTACGAAAAAAATGGAGAGAACTACCCATCAGTCCCACTTTGGGTCTTCCTTAGTATGAGGGCTAGCACCCCAGTTGCCATAAACCTGGCCTCACCTCAGGGACCCACCCTTTATCCTGCCCCAGGCACCTGCTATGCCTGCCTCCTTGTCTGTATGGAAAAGCCCCGCTTTCCCTGCCAACTTACAGCTTTTTACAGTCAACTGACTCTCCTAGATAGACTTCTGTTGTCTCAATACCCGTATTTCTACCATGGCATGTAGCATCAAATATTTTAATTATCTGAATATCTCCTCCCTTAGAAATTGTGTAGGAACTTCAACTTGGGTGCACTAACCGAAAGGGCAAACCCAAGCCGACATCCACAAGAGGGCGCCAAAAATCAGCAATCAGAGACCAGAAATAAGATCCAAGGGATCAGAAGGGTTACCTGGAAGGCAAGCTGAAATTCAGGAAGTAGGAAAAGGACGGAAATGTGGGCAGGTTAACTAGAGGAAGAAAGTCAAGGATAGATGTCAGAAACACTGGTGGGGCAGAGTTACACTTTCCTAAGGGAGTTCTGTCCACTGATGGCCTTCTAGTTAGGAGGCTGCAGTCTGAATTCAGCTCTGAGGTGAGGAATGCCTGGGGCTTCGGTTCAGCTATGACTCCAGGACCGGGAATACATAGGAAGCAAATCTGTGGGGCAAGCTGGATATCCAGGATGAGAGTGGAGCAAAAGCCATCTGTGGCTCAGAGAATGAGAAGAGCCAAGGTCAGTCAAAGCGGTCAGTTGATCACTCAACAAACACATTCAGAATGTTCTGTGTGGCGAGCCCTGTGTCATGACCTCTCTGTGAAGAACAGCCTGAGTACTTCTGGGAGGGTCTTATGGGAGAGGAGCACAGTTTTGAAGAGAATATATGACAGAGGTTTCCAATTCAGCCAAAAAGCTTAAGAAAATGATGAACATAAAATTGGCTTATATAAAAACTGTAGGGCTGAAGAGATGGCTCAGCAGTTAAGAGCGCTGACTGCTCTTCCAGAGGACTCGGGTTCAATTCCCAGCACCCACATGGGAGTTCACAACTGTCTGGAAATCCAGTTCCAGGAGATCTGACACCTCCACACCAAGCACATAAAATGAAGTTAAATAAATCATTTAAAGTTGTTTTAAATAAACAAAACAAAAAAAAAAAAACCTGTAGTCCAGAACAAAGAGCAAAAAGCCAGTAACTGAGAGGGATCGGTGGAGCCTAAGACAGCAGCCTAGGAGGGTGGACAGAGGGCAGTGTAGACAGGGAACTGTTTCCTTGTGATGGCCCAGCCCAGGAACAGGGCAAAAAAAGGCATTTGAACTGGATCAGAGACAGAAATGGAGTCTGGGACAGTACACAGCACTCAATGTAACAACGTAACGTTAGTTAAGTGTTACTTTGACAGCTTGGATTTTTAACACTGATTTAATTAGTCTGATCCATGAAGAGTATTTTTTAAAGCAGTAAGTCCTGTAAACTCCTGTCTTGGTTACAGTCATGAATAACACAGCACCCGATCTTTTTTTTACCCTAGACCCTCCCTTGTTCCTTGAACAATGTGAATCTGACCAGGGGAAAAGTTAGAAACTGGACTCTCAAGCTGAGTGAAGACTTTTGAGCAAGTCATAACAACAGATTTGATGGGGAAATGATTGACAGCTAGCCGTCCAGTGGACTGCTTCAGGGGCATAGTGAAAATGGACTAACCATCATTTTACTTTACCCCAAGTGATGGAATGAATAGCATCCTCGTGGTCGATACCCACAAAGTGCTGTGTGGGTCCTCACTGAAGCCTTGTTAACAGGTTATGTAATAAAGGAAGAGGCTCGGGGGACAACAAGGCCACTGGATGCCTCGCAGCACGTATGATCTTCCCATCGGCCGCCCAGCATGGGTGTGCCCACCTGCTTTTTCCACCATGTGTCGGGTCGCCTGCTCCCCGCTTTCCTTCACTACTGAGAATTTGCCAGGTGCCTTCCCTCCCCATAGGGAGAATCGCATGGGGAAGTTCAGTCGGGGTCAAGGTGGCTTGTTTTCTCTTCCTCTTCCAGGGCTTTCTTCTACAAACCGAGTTGTTCTGCCAAACGGTAGGAAACGCTCATTGTCTCTTCCGCCCTCGGGTTTCCTTAACGCAAGCACTATCTTCGGACCCTGCCGATGCCACACTTAGACTTCACATAGGTATTTGTTTTTTCCTGGATCGGCGATGGGATCAAGGCTTGAATCCACGACACAGTCTGTGAGAAAGTCTAGAAGCTGAAGGTAGTTCTCAGGCAGACAAGGCTGATTTAAGTGATGCCAACCAGCCCCGCTGTTCTCTAATGACTGTAACTTTATTGAAACTTTATTACAAAAAAAAAATGGTTCAGGGTTGAAATTCTCTCGGATGATATCCTGTTAATGATCCTGGATCACAGTCTGACCTGGGTCTAGTAACAAACAGTACCTTAAATGTGGAAACATGTTAAAACAGGACTTAGGGGCTGGAGGATGGCCCTACCGTTAGGAGCATTTTCTGCTCCCTCAGAGGACCCGGGTTCAGTTTCCAGCATCCTGGTTGGGTGGGTGGCTCATGATCATTCCATAATTCCATCTTCAGAGCATCCAGCTTCCTCTTCTGGCCTCCAGAGGCACCTGTACACACGTGGCATCCGTGCACACATACATGCACACACACTCATGCACATTTTTAAATTATTTTTAATAGAGCTTCTAAAGTATTGATAAGCTTCTAGTTCCTTCTTTAGACAATTAAAACTGTACCATATTATGTAAATGCAAAAATAGTGGTTGTCAAGGGAGTCATAATGAAAAAAATGGTATCTAGACAGAAAGTCAAATAAAATCATGGAATTACAAATCAATACAGTCCTCTTGTTTTCATGTGAGGACAGTATTGGCACACAGTAATGAAACTCATCCTGTAAGGAGCTAAAAGCACGAGCCCTCTGTTCTGCACTGCTCAATGCTGTGTTACAGAACATTCGAGACCCTTGCGCCTCCTCCTTGCTATCTTCATGTTTGTTTCTTCGTATTTACCAGGATTCCCCACTGGGCTCTGTTGAGAGGCGTGTCCCTCTGAATTGCCTTAAACATAGCTTAACTTTTTTTCAAGTTTACTGTATTTGGCCTTTATGTTCAACTTAAGCATAACAGCAAGGCTTTCCGAATGCTCTGAGAAATTCCCTTTGCACCAGCGACGTTATCTCTTCCTTGGACTTTACTTCTCCTCGGCTGTCGTGGGTGTGGGTTTCATCTTTTAGATCCTTGTTTTCACTTGAGTATGGAGTTGTGCTCAGTCCCGCCTTTTCACCTTTGGAAACCTTCGTGTTTGTGCACTGTGAGAGTTAAATACAAGTCGGTATTTAAAGGAAAAGAGGTACAGTTGGGTAACTGTGATGGCTCTGCTAAAATGAGAGGTGCTTCCGAGAAGAGCACAGGAAACAAGCTCTCTCCAACTGTGAACTGTTTGTTAGCCTGAAGGACAGCCACCGACTCTCAATTCTGTCATCCCAAGAGAATGAGTGATCATCCCCTTGAATTAGGAGTGGGGATATTTTCTTTTTTTATCAGCATACATAAATGAATACAAAGGTACTTAATGGCATTTTACATACGCATTTAATATACTTTAATCGTAGCCTCTTTATTTTTAGTTACTTATCTTTATTCCCCTTTCTCTCTTGTTTTCCTTTCCACATCTTAATGTGGAACATTAAGGGCACATTTGCTTTTGTGCCCTTTATTCTTACCTGAGACTCCACACATGAGAGAAAACACACAATATGTGTCTTCATGCTGATGGCTTATTTCTCTTTCCTTGATCCCTGCACCTATTTTCCTGCAAATGGCACCACTTCATTCTTCCTTGCATTTGAGGAAGTCTGCCGCATTTGGACACCCCAGTTTCTTCATTTGTCTGTCTGGTGAACACCTAGGTGGACTCCATACCTCAGTCTTTATAAGCAGTGCTGTAATATGGGTGAGGATGCAGGCAGCTCTGTTGGATGCCGACTCTGGGGAACACGCCCAGAAGTGGGAAAGCTGAGTCACATGGGCCACTACGTTTTTGAAGACAGTAAATACATGCCAATTAAAGGGTCTAGATGAAGACTGTGAGCAGAAGTTGAAGGACGTCAGTAGGCTTTGGTGCCTGTAATATCAAAGAATGAACATTAAATGAGAATGTCTGTGGAATTCTGAATTCAAATTCATCCTGCATTCTTAAGGAGATCGTTGAAAGTAAATGCCAACAAGCCATCCAACTAGCTTAAAGCACTTATTGCTTTAGAAATGAGACTTCATATTTTGTGTAACCAAGCTGTCTTCAGGGAAAAAGGACTTTGACTTAGCAGGAAGTGGGTTGATAACCCTCAGGAATTAAAGGGAAGGGGCAAAGGCAAGTTGTCAGGTAGAAAATAATTATTGTCAGATCAGCACAAAATTTGACCACAAACAGCATTGGCATGTTTGTATTCAAGGCATTATCTTTGCAATGATGAATAAGTATTTTCCAGAATAATTACGGATCTTACCAAAATACTTCCCTTGTGTGCTACAATGTGAGCAAGCTTATAAGCGGTGACTCATAATCACTACACACACACACACACACACACACACATACAAAAATCCAGTGACATGCATACCTTTCATTCAGTCCTGGTAATGCCTTCCAGAACTCTCCTTTTATTCTCCGCCTCTGTCAGCCAGTTCTCTTTACGGCTATCAAGTCTGTAAAGCCCAGGAATCTACCACAGCTCAGCTCACAATAAAGTGACCACCTGACATGCAGGGCTATGGGAAACTACCACAATCCCTCCCAGGGTCCGCGCCAACCTGACTCAACAGTGGAATACAATTGTGGGTTGACGGCGTTATCCCAGTTAGCTGCTGAACATGGAGAATCTAATTCCTCTGTTGTGTAAGGACGCGTTCAGTTCATTTACTGGAAAACTGAGTGAACATCAAAATAAAGCAATGAAATCAGAAGTTGACTGGCCACCTAAAATACTGCCATTATTTTTAAAAAAATCTGATTTAGTTTTTATCTTAACAAATTGAACTAGACTAACCTTTTAAAAATTGTAAGCAATACGATTCCAGCTACAAAAAAAGTATTAGCCAAGAGTCCTCAAAAACTAAAAAATGCTAAATGAAGGTGAAATTAACTCATGTTGCATCCTCCCTCCACCAAAGAAAAGAAGTGTCATGCATTGTTTCTCAGAACAAAATAATCTGAGACTACAGTGGTCCACCTAGATAACCCCTGGAAGGCATTTTACCTTCCTAACCCCATTTGACACAGGATAAAACTAGAGACCACACAGATGAGCTGAACCAAAGGTAAGCACAGGCAGTGACCATGTGAGTCACGTGACTCCCTCTCCTTTGCCCCTTCATTGTCCTCCTGTCTCCCTTTCTAGTATCTTCTGTCTCCTCATTCCAAGTGACTAACCTCTCACCTATTCGCAAAGACTTTGACTTTTTACAGTGAACTTACTACATTTAAAAACTAATTTCTAACCTGAGCAGAGTGGTGCATGCCTTTAATCCCAGCACTCAAGAGGCAGAGGCAGCTGGATCTCTGTGAGTTCAAGGTCAGCCTGGTCTACATAATGAGTTCCAAGTCAGCCAGGGCTATACAATGAAACCCTGTCTCAAAGAAAGTCAAAAAAATAATTTTCTAAATTAGTATGTGGTCTTAAACCAAAATGCAGTCATGCATATTAACTAGTAATCATGTATTGTATAGTCCCTGCTCAATTGGTTTGGGAAATTCAGGGATAAACAAAGGTTCCTTCTCTGCCCGAGTTCCAGACTTTCCATGTTCTGTACCTTACAAGTCTCCAAAAACGCTCATTTCAATCTTCTTCAATTACAACTTCTCTTTTTTTCTGAACAAAGCGTGCATTGCAGATACCATGACGAAATGACCACAGTTTGAGATAGCTATATCATAAGCTCGTTCCCAAAACAGAGATGCTTTTATGGTGATGAATGAAATCATCGCTTCAAAAATTTGCAGCATACATATTAGAAAATAAAACTGTTCTCCCCATCAAATCAGAAGGGATTCAGAGAGTCTACTTCTTCTTATTGATCTTCAGAAGGTTGAAAGACGTGTAGGAAACAGGTCTTAAAACTCCCTTCTGTGTCCTGTAACATGAGCAGTGGGCAGGGGAGACAGGTGTACTCTGCCAGTGTGCTCACGCTACCTCACACCTGTGCCACCTTCCCTATGGCGAGGGGCATGCCATTCATTTGGACACTGGCTGTATGAGTCTTTCACGTTATTTACAATAGCCCCCTAAGATAGAGCCTACTACAGTATATCCCCAAGTCAGTCTGGTTTCCAGATCTCTGCCGTTAACGTCACTATGACTCACTTTGCTTAACATATCCCGGTTACCTAAATTCCAATCATTCAAACTGCACTTTCCCCTTCATTCTACAATCCCAGAGAGTTTCACGACTGAAGCCAGACTTCTGCCTGAATTTCAAAACCATGTCCATCTCCCTTGTTAAAGGAGAGGGAGCAGATGCTGCCGGCTTAAACTGTTACTTAAGTCATGATTTCCGGAGCTCACTGCCACCATCCCTCACCACTGGACACTTTGACAGAGCACTGCTGAGTAGCGTTATTTCAGTAGGAAGCATTCTGAGTAAGAGTGAAGTGTCATCTCAATCGATGACCAGCCTCCAAAGTTCTTAAACCCAATCTCACGTGAAACTCCTCTGTGCCACCTAGTCCCAAATAAAGGCGGACGGTAGCCTTTATCCCGGAGAGGTGTGACAATGGGAACTTGAAACGTTTCATCTAGCATTTGGTCAACAGAAAAACAGGAATAAAAGACGTCAGAAGGTGCTAAGCCACAAACATGTTCATAACAATGGAGATGTGAGAGGATTTGTCGGAAGCTGATGGTCTTGTTCTCACGGGGGAGGGGCCCCCCCAGAGGATATGCGGCTCTTCATCTGTCTTGAGTTAATGTTTACTTTGGTCTGTTTTCACTTCCTTTCCTCTCCCATTTCCTACTAAACATGTCACGTTGAACTCACGTCAAGTCAATATTTAAGGGCCTCCAGTAGCAGCTACATTGTGTCCACTTCCTGGTGTTACCAAATATATCACTGTGCTCACTTTCAAAATAATTAAACACAGTTATTAAACTAAGATGGTGCCTGAGTTGTCCTCTTCCTTATTCCTCTTCCCACAATCAATCTCCACACTTTCGAATCAAACCATGTGAAACATGGGCTGCTCGGTGTGGAGAACTGACCGCTCGCTGCGATCCTGCTCCTGTTTCTCCCTCAGTGACTCCATGACGCCAGAGAAAAGATGGCAAAGAATGTGTCAATTCCAGCTGCCCACCCAGAATCAGATCTCTATTTGGATAAACTCCGTAATCCGCATTTTCTCCTACTTTTGATAATTCCCACCAGTTATTTAGGATCATTATTTAAGTCAGATACTGAATATTCTGAATTGATTTTTACTTATCTTGTTTAATTGTCCCTTTTTGGTTGGTATTGTTATTTGTGCTTTTGTGGGAAAGAAAGCTTCAGCTTTTATCTGCTAAATTTTCCACATAATCTCTTACCCTGCTTTATGTATAATTTCTAATTTGTATCTTTTCTATTTTCTTAGTTTTTCTTTTTTCATAGAAACTTGGCTCCCATGTCTCCCAATCTCACCCCCATATTGCATTCTTTTGTCTACAAGGAGATTGAGATTTTAGTTCCTTTAGAGTCTTATCCCTTGTCTTTGCATCGTCTCTAATAAAATCTTGAACCTATGGACAGTACTTTATTCCTTAATGCCTGAGGTCTCTTTTGAATGCCAAAACCTTTCTTCAGATATATGACAAAGGGTGGGATGAAGGCTCCGGCCTTCTGTCCTCTATATTCAAACTCATCACCATGTGCCGTTGCATTTCCTCCCAGTAAACAGGTAGAATCCATGTCCTAAACCTCTGAAACAGAGAGGCTGTATGGTTTCCTGTCTGGCTTTACTCTGCTAAGCCATTGGCCTCACCAATTAACCAATAAAAGCAACACAAATACAGAAGGATATCCCACATCATCTCCCCTTTTCTGTCTAACTAAAATGGAAGGTTTTAACTTTAACTACAAAATAGAGTCAACATGGGGCAAGAATTTTCACAGAAAGCCTAAGAAAGTTTCTTTTAAAAAAATGGGCTTCTAGACCCAAAAAACAGGAGTCAATTGGAGCTTCTTAGTAGACGCATATTTTCAGATAGGCTCTGTTTGCTGGTGGTGTGCAGAGGTGTGGCTTCTTTAAAACCCAGCTTCCTGGTTTGTGCTAGTAGAACAAACATCTCTGCTTCTGTTGAGAGGTTCTGCTATGGAGCAGTTAAATGGGGTCTATGAGCAGTGTTTACAAATTGATTAATGGCAACATGCACCTGCTGTGTTCCTGGAGCTGGGGCAGTGAACATGACTCTTGGAGGTGGTGAACATACCTCTGTCATGTTGGACAGAGTGGAAACAAACAGGCAGGGCCATGGAATTGGTCCTAGCTATGCCCACTTACCATTTTAAAAAAAAATTATGTTCTTGGTCAAAAATGATTACAGATAAGCAATAAAAATGATTCAGACAAAAATAAATCTCTGAATGGGTCACAGAATGTTTTTAAAAATGTATGTAGGCTTGAGAGAGAGAAGAAAAAGAGGATAAACAATTATAAAAGGAAATAATAGTTTTAAAAATAAAATAAAATCTTTAAAGAGACAATAAAAGTAATATAAAAAAGTAAAAACAGTTATAGATTAAAGGAGTAGAATTAAAGTCATAGATTAAAGCATGTAAAGATAGAAAATATACAGAGAGTCTAGAATATACATATTATTGTTTTTTAATTTTTTGAGTGCAGAGAGGTATTTGATTATGGGGGGCTGTTAAGTTAAACCAACCTAAAGGTATCTTGACTTCAAAATTTGTGTCTAAGGATATGCTGCTTTGAAAAAGAAGTCCTGCTTTTGTTTCCACAGAAGATGAGATCCTGTGGATTCCTTCCAGGCTAATGTGGCCTGATAGAACAAGACCTCCTGGAAGGTCTCTGTGAACCCTAAAAATATTTTGCCCAAAAAACTTCAGGGAGCAGTTTGAAGAAAACAGCACCCAAAT